GCCGCGCGCCAGGAGGCGTTGGACCGCGCGGCGAAGGACGCGGACGCCGCGCGCGAGGCGCTCCGCGACAACGACGACCGCGCGCGCGACCGCGAGCGCGCGCTCGAGGAGGACCTGCGCCGCGCGTTCTCCAGGGTCCAGGAGGTCCGCGCGACGGAGCTCGCGTTGCGGTCCCAGCTCGTCGACGTCGAGCGCAACGGCGTCCGCGCCGCGAAGATGGGCCTGGCGCTGGGCGGTCTCGGCGTCGGCGCCGCGAAAAGGCTGAGCTCGCGGATGGCCGTCGAGCGGTCCATCGCCGTCGACGACGACGAGGCGAACCTGCTCTCGGGGGGCCGCTTCCAGGTGCCCTGGCTCCGCCGCGAGGGCGCGCGGTTCTTCGCGCGCTGGGTCCTCGCGACGCGGCGCCTCGCGGGCGAGGACGAGGCGCTCCGGCGGACGCGGGAAGCGCTCGAGCGCGCGATGGCCGACGTGAAGCGGCAGCACGAGGCGCGCGAGCTGTCCATCTACGAGCTCACGAACGACCAGCAGGCCGCGGCCGTCGCCGCCGCGCGCGCGGACGTCTACCTCGCGCACCTCGACGAGCTCGCGCGCTACGGCGCGGCCCGCGACGCCGACGCCGAAGACGCGGCGGCCGCGCGCGGCGCCGAGGTCGACGCGCTGGCGAAGAAGCTGCGGGACGCCGTCGCCGCGACGGCGCGGTCCGAGGACGAGCGCGTCCAGATCAAGCTCGAGCTCAAGGACGAGCAGGACCGGCGCGCGCGGGACCGCGGCGCCGCGGAGGCCGCCGCGGACGCGGCGGCCAAGCTCGCGACGGTCCGCGCGGCCCTCGCCGCGGACGACCTCGGCCACCGCGTCGCGCGGTGCGCGGCGACGGCCGCCGCGCTCGCGGAGGACCTCCGCGGCGGCGACGGGGCCCCGCGGCTCCAGGTCCTCGAGGCCGCCGCGCGCGTCGCCGCGGCAGCCGCCGCCGCGCGCGGCGCCGTCGACGGCGCGAGGCTCGCCGCGGACCGCGCGGGCTACGCCGCGGAGACGCTCGAGTCCGCGACGGGCGACGGCGCGGGCCACCGGCGGCGCCTCGCCGCGGCCCTCGACGCGGCCGCGGCCGCCGCGGCCGCGGCCGCCGCGGCGACGGCCGCGGCGGAGCGGAAGTGCTCGTCGAGCGGCAACGGCGTGCGCCGCGAGGGCCTCGAGGACGAGCGCGCCTACTACCGCGCCGAGGCGGCGCGCGCGCTCGCGGAGCGCCGCGCCGGCGAGGCGGCGAACGCCGCCGCCGTCGACGCGCTGCGAGCGGACCGCGACGGCCTCCGGCGCAAGTCCGCCGCGGGCGACGCGGCCGGCCGGGCCGCGGGCGAAATGCTCGAAACGCGCGATGCCACCATCGCGACGCTCACGGACGCCTTCGCCGCCTACCGCGGCGGGGCCGAGGCGAGCGAGGCGATCCACGCGGACCGCCACGCGGCCGCGGAGGCCGCCGCCGTAGCCAAAAACGACCTCTTCGCGCGCGCGGAGATCGCGGGCCGCGCGCGCGCCTACGAGGCCGACGAGGCCGCGGGCGCGTGCCGCGACGCCGCCGTCGCGCTCCAGGCCCTCGAGGACGAGACCTACTGGCGCGAGAGCCTGCGCGCGTCGGAGTCGCGCGCCGAGGACCGCGAGGCCGCGGCGTGGAAGGGCGGCATGGAGGAGCGCGACAAGCTCGCGCGCAAGGAGGCGTCGGACCTCCGGGCCGCCGCGGAGCGCGCGCTCGCGGACGTCAAGGCCGCCGCGGCCGCGTCGCTCACGGAGGTCCGCGTGAACACCAAGGCCGCGCTCGAGAAGGCCGCGGCCGCCGCGACGCAGCGCGAGCGGGACGCCGTCGCGCGCGCGGACGAGGCCGCGCGCGGCGACGAGCGGGGGCTCCGCTTCGCCGCCGAGGCCGCGGCGGCGGCCGCGGGCGCGGCCCAGCTCGACAACACGACGCGCGCGCTCGAGCGCGACGCGCGGCGCGAGAAGCGCGTCGCGGAGGAGCACGCGCGGCGCGAGGCGGACCGCGCGGAGGCGGAGCGGCTGCGGCTGTCGACGGAGCTGGGCGCCGTGCGCGAGCACGCGATCCTGGAGTTCGACCGCGCGCAGCAGCTCCGGAGCGAGCACGCGCTCGCGCTCGAGGGCCAGGCGGACGCGGCGGAGCGCGCGCTCAAGCACGCGCTCCGCGACGCCGCAGACGCGTCCGACGCCGCCGAGGCGGGCCGCGTCGCCGGCGCCGCGGAGGCCGCGGAAAACGCGCGCGAGTCGCGCGACGCGGACCACCACGAGGCGCTCACGCTCGCCGTCGCGCGCGCGACGGCCGCGGCCGAGGTCCACTGCCGCGACACCTTGCTCGCGCCCGTGCGCCTCGCGCTCCTCGGCGCGGACGCGGCGCGCGCCGCGGACGGCGCCATGCTCGCGGAGGCCGCGCGCGCGTGGGACGACGAGCACGACAAGGTCGTGGACCTCCGCGGCGAGCTCCACTACATCCGGCGGTCCTGCGCGATCCGCGAGTGGCGCATCGGCGTGCGCGCCGTCGCGACGAACGCCAAGGCCATCGCCGCGCGCGAACGCGCGGAGAAGGACCGCGACGCGTCCGAGGCGAAGCTCGTCGACGACCTCGACCGCGCGAAGCGCAAGGCCGCGTCGGTGCGGCGCCAGCTCGACGCGAAGCTCGACGAGGGCGAGGGCTTCCGGCGGCGCATGCACGACACGCTGGTCAACCACGAGCGGGCCACGCTCGTCGCGCACAAGCGCCGGTCCACGGAGCTCGGCCAGGAGCTGGAGATCATCGTCCGCGACCGCGACGACCTCGAGACGGAGCGCGACAAGCTGTTGGAGTACATCGACGAGATGCAGGAGTCCGTGCGCGCCATCGAGCAGTCCATCCACGCGCACTCGAAGTCGTCGGCGATCTCGTCCGACGGCCGCATCAACATCGCGCACGCGAAGAAGAAGAAGCGCATGGACGACGACCACGAGATGCTGCTCCTCGGCGTCGAGAAGCAGCGGGGCGCCCTCGCGGACACGGACAAGAAGCTCGCGAACCTCAACGACGCGCGCGAGAACAAGGAGGACGAGATGAAGGCGCTCGAGCGGCGGCTCGTGGAGCTCCTCGTGAGCCAGCAGAAGAAGCTCCTCGCCATCCTCCAGGAGGCGGCGAACGCGTCCCGCGCCGTCGACGAGGCGACGCCGCGCAAGCCGGGCGAGGAGAAGCGCGACGAGCTCGAGCTCGCGGAGGCGCGCGCCGCGGCCATGGGCGGCATGGGCGACTTCGCGAGCCCGTGGTAATTGTCTGGTGTGGTCCTGTCTTACGCACCCTAGGAGCCGCCCGGGGGGGTCCAGAACCCCACGACGAGGCGCGCGGCGTCGTCGGGGATGGGGGCGCACTTGGTCACGAGGCCGACGAGGATGCGCTCGTGCTGCTTCGCGTGCTTCTCCCAGCCGCCGGCGGACCTGACGGAATCGATCGCGTCCAGGGCAGCTGCTGTCCACATTGTGCGATCAGTAATATCTTCCTTCGGGATCTCGGCGCCAGCGCAGAGCAGGATTTTCACGACGTCGCGGTCGCCCTGATCAGCGGCTACATACAAGGCTTCATTCACCAAGGCGCCGGCTCGGATCAACAGTTTGATACACGACACGCAGCCCTCGCGCAACTCGCTACGGCAGCGTACAACGAGGCGTTCCCCGCGCAAGCCGACGTGCGTCGGCTCCCCCCGGGAAGATCTGACCGCGTCGCTGAGAGCGGTGTCTCCAACACAATCTACCGCGTTGACGTCCGCGCCTGCGGCCAGCAGAAGAGCGACGTTGCTCGCGCATCCGCGATTGGCTGCTTCACCGAGCGGAGGGCCTCTGCCGCTCCCTGTCGAGTCGTTTGGCGACGCGCCGCACCCCAGCAAAAATTCGACCGCCTCGGGGTGATTCGCCTCGCTTGTCGTGTAGCACAAGGCTTCGTACATGTAGCGAGCATCGTAGTGCACATCCTCGAGGAGGGCGCGAAGGGGCTCGAAGTCGCCAGTCCGTTTCGCTTCACGCAAAACCGGCTGGTAGCGGGTGTCGGCCGACGCCCTGGCGAGGATGTAGGTGACGTCTTCGGCTGACAACATCTCGACTGCTGACACTCGACGACGACCCACCAGAATCAGCCGGGCCGAGTTGGTTGGCATGGGCTGCATCGTCGGCTCGATCGGTGCATCAGCGGTGCGCCTCACGAGGAAGCGAGCTGTGGCAGCCAGGAAAGTCGACTAGTGCGGCGTCCTCCGGCGCCAGCGCGCGCGACTGCAACACTCCCCATGGCGAACCGCTACGGCTACGACTACCCGGACCTCACGTCCGACGACAGCAACGACATCAAGCGCGTGCTCGCGGAGCGCGAGGCGAACCCGGGCGCCGCGCCCCCGCGGGCCCGGCCCGGCCGCGCGCGGCCCGGCCACGTCGGCGTCAATCTCTATGGGTATGCCTACCCGGAGCTCACGGCGTCCGACGGGCCCGACGTGCTGCAGCTGCTCAACGACCGGGACCGCGAGTTCCGGCTCAAGGAGGCCGGCGGGAAGATCGAGGTCTTCGGCGACGGCGCGTCGTCGGCCCTGGAAGCGCGGCAGAAGGAGAACGAGGCCGCGCGGCAGAACGAGCAGGACGCGGAGCCCGCGCACTGGTGCTTCCTCGACCCGCAGGGCGCGGTGCAGGGCCCGTACCACCGGCTGCAGATGCGCTTCTGGTTCGAGAAGGGCTTCTTCGAGATGAAGACGCCCGTGCGGTTCGGGCTGAGCGGCCCCTTCACCATGCTCGGCGACGCGTTCGGCGCCGCGGCCGCGGGCGAGTACGTCTGGGCGTTCCTCGACGACGCGGCGATCGCGAAGAAGCGGGACCAGGCCGAGGAGCTCAAGAACCGGCCGACGCAGAACCCGCACGGCACCTGGAAGCAGAAGCACCTCAAGGTGCCGGCGACGCGCGAGAACCCCTTCCCCAACGAGGACTTCGAGTCGCCGGGCCAGGAATTGTACTGGTGCGCGCACGCGGGCGAGACGCGGGCCGCGCTCAAGCTCATCGAGGAGGGCGCGGACGTGCTCTGGCGGAACCACAACGAGCAGTGCATCCTTTCCGCGGCGGCCAAGGCCGGGGACGTGGAGATCATCCGGGCCCTCGTCAAGTGCGGCGCGCCGCCGAGCCACGAGAACATCTGGCACATGACGCCGCTGCACGAGGCCGCGCGCGCGAACCGCGGGCCGGCGATCCGCGCGCTCGTCGACCTCGGCGCGGACATGGAGGTCCGCGACCTGGACGGCTACAAGCCCATCCACACGGCCTGCACGACGAACGCGGTCGACGCGATCCGCGAGCTCGTGCTGCTCGGGTCGACGACGACGATCCGCGACAACCACAACTGGACGCCCATCATGCACGTCCTCAACCACGGCATGGACGCGCGCAAGAAGGCCCAGATCATCCAGCTCATCCGCAAGGAGTGCGAGTAGTTTTTCTAAATTTGTTACGCCGGCGGCACGAAGCCCGCGTTGAGGAACCACTCGAGCGCGTCGTAGTCCTCGGTTTTGTAGTTGGCCATGACCTCGTCGCCCGCCTTGAGCTCGAGGGGCCGGCCGTCGTCCGTGAAGCTCCAGTAGCACCAGTCGTCGCCGTCGTGCTCCCGGTTCTTCGCGTTCACGGCCGCCCGTCCGGAGCCGACCGTCGCGCCCCCGCGCACGCCGCGCGCCGCGAGGCGCGTCTCCACGGTCGCGGCGACGGCGTCGAAGGACGTGAACGGCGACCGGCCCGCGTCGTGGTTGAGCAAATCCAGCAGCGGCACGAGCTTGGGCGCCGCGCCGCCGCCCATGGCCCGGCTCGAGACGACGCCGAGCGCCCACGCGACGTCGGCCGCGTCGACGCGCAGCGCCGCGCCGAAGTCGCCCGCGAGGCCGTTGGCGACGCGCTCCGCGTAGGCCGCGGCCCGCCGCGCCTCGTCGCGCCAGAGGCCGCGGTCCGCCGGGTCCGCGGCGTCGAGGAGCGCCTCGAAGGCGCCCGCGTCGCCCGCGAGGAGCGGCGCCCACGCGTTGGGCAGCGCCGCGACGTCGCGCGGCAGCGACTCGAGGTAGGGCGCCCAGAAGACGTCGCCGCCGCGGCGCCGCTCGCCGTCGAGCGACGCGAGCCAGAGCACGAGGAGCGACCCGTCGTCGAGGTCGTCGCCGCCCGCGCCGCGGTCCTCGAGGAACGCGCGCGCGCGCCGGCCGGACATCTCCAGCGACGCCGGCACGACGACGAGCGGCGCCGCGCTCACGGCGTCGACGCCGACGTCGCGCGCGGCGACGAGGCCGCGCGCCCCGCAGGGCGCCGGGTCCGCGAGGGCCAGCGACGCGTGCACGCTGCCGCCCGCCCGCCGCACGAACGACGCGAGCGCGTTGAAGTCGAAGGCCGTCGCGCGCGAGGCGAGCAGCAGGAGCGTTGCGACGCGGCGCTGCGTGCATGCATGGCGCCGCGGTAGCATCGAGGGCGACCTCAGCTTCGACCTTGCATGGCGTCGCGGCAGCGTCATTGGCTGCGACGTCGCGTCCATCGATGATGCGCTTGTGGATTCGCTTGTGGGTGCAACCCACTTCAGCATCAACACGTTGACTTTCGCCCTGCCCTTCTATGCCCTGATGGGGCAGCTAGCCTGCTCGAGATCTGTCATGGGGCTCCTCGTCCGCTGCCTCGCGCTCGTCGCGACGACGACGCCGCTCCAGTTCACGGTGGAGTTCGACGGCCGGTCCCACACGACCGAAGGCGACGACGCGGCGGCCATGGCGCGCTACTACGTCGACGAGATCTTCGGCGCCGACTTCGTCGGCGAGGGCTGCGCGACGCGGGCCTGCAGCGTGGACCTCCTCGAGCGCGCGATCCTCGTGGCGAACGCGGACGAGGGCCTCGAGACGCCGGACAGCGGCTTCCAGCTGGTCGCGGCGCGGGACCCGGAAGCGCCGCTGCTCGTGCTCTGCGCGTCGCTGGGCGCGACGATGGGGCCGGACGCGGCGGAATCGACGTTGGACGCGCGGCTCGCGAGCCGCATGACCATGGAGTTCGAGTTCCGCCGTTTTGTGAATCGGACCTTTGGCGACTCCGTGTCCGTGCTCTTCGTGCGGGACGGCGCGCGGGAGTGGTACCTCGGCGGCGTCGCGGGCCTCGGCGGCGACCCGGCGGCGGCGGCGGACGGCGTCCGGCGGCTCTTGGACGCGCGGGGGCTGCGGCCGAACGCGACCCTCGTCGCGGGGAGCTCCATGGGCGGCTTCGGGGCCATCCTGCTGGGCGCGCTGCTCGGCGCGGACGACGTCGTCGCGTTCGTGCCGCAGACGTTCGTGGACCCGCCGGGGCTCGCGCGCGCCGGCGACGCGCGCTTCCCCCACTACGCGGCCGTCGCGGCCCTCGTCGCGGCGGGGCGCGCCGGCGCGGCGTACGCGGACCTCGGCGGGCTCGTCGCGCGCGAGCGCGCGCGCGGCGGGCCCTGCGCGACGAAGTACCTCCTCGTGTCGCGGCTCCCGGGCGACGGCGGCGACGGCGGCCACGCGGCCATGGACGCGGTCCACGCGGCCCACCTCCGGCGCCGGAGCGGCTGCGTCGACGTCGTCCGCTGCCCGGCGGCCGCGGCGCACACGACGTGCGCCAAGGTCATGCGCGACACGGGCGCGCTCGAGCGCGCGCTCCGGGACCGCGCCTTCGCGCCGCCGGGCCGCGACCGGTCGCCGGCGCCGGTCTCCTGGCGGGACCTGCTCCTGGAGCGCGCGCCGTCGCCGTCGTAAGAAACGTGTTAGAACTCCCCCCGGTCCCGCGCGCGCTCGCGCTCGGCGACCTGCTCCTTGTAGAGGACGCGGTCGGCTTCGGAGAGGTGGCACAGGTCCGGCAACTCGAACTTGACGTCCGCCGCCTCGCCGACCCAGCGCATCATGGGCTGGACCTTGGCGACGCCCGAGTAGAACTTGTAGGGCGGCCGCTTGTCGTGCGCGGGCAGGAGGACGAGCGTCGGCAGCTCCGCGGCGGAGACCGCGCCGTCGAGGGGCGGCGCCTCGCGCGTCACGTCGAAGCGCGCGACGACCAAACTCTCGACGGCCATGTCGTGGAACCGCTCGGCGAGCTTCTTGTAGTAGACGGCCATGTGCGCGCACGGCGCGCACCCCTCCTCGTGGAACATGACGAGGACGTCGCGGTCCGGCCGGTCGGCGACGCTCGAGAAGTTCCGCGCGTCGAGGACGACGACGTGGTCCGCGAAGCCCCGGCGCGCGACGCCCGCGGAGGCGGCGCCGAACTGCTCCGAGACGCCGACGGTCTCCGCGGGCGCGGCCTTGCGGGGCTTGCGCTTCGCGTCGAAGGCCGGCGCGACGACGTTGTTTACGTTCGCCACGGCGAAGGCGTCGCTGTCGGCCCGGGAGCGCAGCTTCCGCCCGAGGAACGCCGCGCAGAATTCGCGGATCGCGCGGCGCTCGAGCGGCAAGGCTTCCGGGAACGGCGCGACGACGCCCCGCTCGTTCGTGTTGAAGGCCAGCGCCGGCAGCTTCTCCTTCCCGCCGAACAGGCCCAGCCCGCGCATGCGGTCCGCGTGGGCGACGCCGTCGATGTACGCGAACGCGACGCGGTCGCGGAACGACTCGTCCTTCTGCGCCGCGCGCAGCTCCTCGACGAGGTCGTTGTTGAAGAGGCCGCCGGACCGGCCGCCGACGAAGGGCGCGCCGTCGTCGTCGCTCGCGTGGCCCGAGAGGTCGAGGAAGAGGAGCAGCATGGGCCGCAGCAGCTTCTCGTAGCGCGCGAAGTTTAGCGCCGTGAGCCGGCCGACGGCGGGCAGCGACCGCGCGTCGACCCAGCCGCCGAGGGGCTCGTCCATGGCGTCGAGGACGGCCGACGACGGGGCGTCGCGCCCCTTGGCGAGGACGACGCCCGGCGCGCGGTCCACGAGCTTCGCGTCCACCAGCGCGCGCGAGATGCGAGAGTCGGCGACGGCGCCGAAGTAGACGTCGTGGCGGTGCTGCTGCGCCGCGGCGACGTCGGCGAAGTCGGCGTACTCGTCCTCCTCGACGCCGTCGGCGTCGCTGAAGACGCCCAGGACGAACGCGGACGTCGCGGGCCGAAATCCGAGGTCCGTCGCGTCGTCGTTCGGCGCCGCGCCCTCCTCGGCCGCGTAGGCGTCGCGCGCCGCCGCCGCGGCGTCGTCGGCGAGGCCCAGGAAGGCGACGACGTCCTCGAGCGTCTCGAGGGCCGCGACGGGCGGCCCCTTGAGCTTCCGCGCGAACGCGACGAGGCCGTCCTCGGAATGGACGCCCTGGTACGGCCGCGGCGCGTCGCCCCGGCGGTACGCGACGACCTGCGGGAGCGTCGACAGGCCGAGCTCGCCGAGGCGCTCGCGCAGGGCCGGCTCGTCGCCGTCGGCGCGCAGCAGGGGCACCTTGAGCCGCCGGAGCTCCGCCGCGGCCGCCGCGTACGCGGTCTCCGCGGCGATGCACTTGTGGCAGGACCGGCTCGAGAAGCCGACGAGCACGAGGGGCAGTTTCTTCAGCGCCTTCGTCCAGTTCTTGCCCGTGACGTTGAAGTGGCCGCCGCTGAGGATCGGGAGGAACGACGCGCCGGCGGCCAGGGCGTGGCCGCAGTCGTCGCCGTGGTAGCCGGGCTCGCAGGTGCACATGAAGTCGCGGCACGTGCCGTGGCCGCTGCACCCGTTGAAGCAGATCGAGCCCTCCTCGAGCTCGCTGCGCGTGGCGACGAGCATCAGCGCCAGCGTCGCGAGGCGCGTTCGCCGCCGCGCCATCTCGTCCTTGTGGCAAAGACGATGTTGCCGCCTCCCTAACTGCGACGGTGATGTTGTATCTTGTGTTGCATGCGAGGTTACGGCCCGCGGCAGCGCCCTCTCTGAGAGAGCTCTCTGGTCTGGGCGGCCTTGCCGTCCTTCGGGGCCGCCGCCGGGCTCGTCGTCGTGGAGGCGCGGACGGTCGCCGCGCCGGTCCTCGTCCGAGGGGCAGCGTCGCGGCGCGCGCGCCGGCGCCGCGCGGGCCTCGCACGCGTGCTCCTCGACCGACACACCCCCGCCGCCGCCTAGCGCGCCGGGCCGCGGCGTCCAAGAAAGACCCGACATGGTGCTCTCGCCGGACTATTCGAACCGCGCCCTCGCGGCGGGCCTGCGGCGGGAGCAGAAGATGGCGCGGCGGCCGACGAATCCCATGGAGCTGTCCGTGAGCGACGCCGCCTCGCTCGGCCGGATCAGCCACGCGCAGACGCAGGCGCGGCGCCAGCAGAGCAACGTGATCCGGCCGACGTCCTTGAACCGGAAGACGGAGCGGCGCTACAGTAAGGTGCACCACCACGCGGCGCCGAAGGCGAGCCAGCGGACCATGGTCAACAGCCTGCGCGCGATGCACGAGGAGAAGAGCGAGCTCGAGCACCAGGAGACCGCGTCCTTCAGCCGGGAGACCCTCAAGCAGATCTCCGTGATCCGCACGCGGCTGCGCCACGACACGTCCCACGTCCTCGACCCTTCGGGCCCCTACATGCGCCGCTGGGATCTGGTGACGACGTTCTGCCTCGTCTTCACGGCGATCGTGACGCCCGTGGAGGTGGGCTTCGTCGTCCAGGCGCGGCCGAACCCGCGCACGCCCCTCTTCTGGATCAACCGGGCCATCGACTGTGTGTTCCTCAAGGACATCGTGCTGAACTTCAACCTGGCGTACGTCGACGACACGAAGGGCAACATGCTCGTGAAGAGTCGGCGCACGATCGCGAAAAGGTACGTGCGGTCCTGGTTCGCCGTCGACTTCATCTCGACGCTGCCCTTCGAGGTCGTGACCATGCTCGCGGGGGACACGGAGCGGCTCAAGGGGCTGAAGATGATCCGCATGATCCGATTGTTGCGGTTGTTGAAGCTCGCGCGCGTGATCCGCGCGTCGCGCATCGTGAGCCGCTGGGAGAGCTCCTTCTCCGTGTCCTACGCCCACCTGACGGTCATGCGCCTCGGGCTCCTGTTGACGACGGTCGCCCACTGGATGGCCTGCCTCTGGGGGCTCAGCGCGACGTCCGCGGTCCGCGACGACCAGTGGACGTGGATCAAGGGGCAGGAAAAGGGTGATTCAAGGTCGCTTCAACATGAGTGTTCCGCGCGCGCGCGTTCCGGAAAAAGCATCCATGCTTCGAGACCGTTCCGAGAGATGATCGCTCGTCCAAAAATTAGCCGAAACGAGAGGAAAACGACCGAGATAGGAGCCTTTGAAGTTGGAAATTTCGCACTCTTTTCCTGCCCAGGTGGATCAAGCAGCTCGAGCACAGCAAGCGCGACGCGGACGGCAACAAGCAGTTCCACGGCGCGTCGGTGGCCGACTGCTACTTCGCGTCGCTCTACTTCACGGTCTACACGATCACGTCCGTGGGCTACGGCGACATCAACCCCGTGAACCGCACGGAGATGGTCGTGAACACCCTTTTTATAGTGACGGGAGCGATCATCTGGGCCTACATCATCGGCAACTTCGCGTCGCTGCTGTCGACCGTGGACGTCTACGGCGCCCAGTTCCGCCAGTCCATGGACGAGCTCAACGTGATGATGGCGGAGCGCAACTTCCCCGTGTCGCTGCGGAAGCGGTGCCGCACGTTCTTCCGCCAGTCGCGGAACATGGCGCGCGTCGCCAACTACCGCAAGCTCGAGGGCATGATGTCCTACGCGCTGCGGGGCGAGGCGGCCGCGGCGAACAACCTGATGTGGCTGAAGCGCGTGTGGTACCTCTCGAGCGCGACGACGTCGTGCGTCGTCGAGATCTCGCAGTGTTTAGGCCAGATGACCTTCGCGCCGTTGGAGGTCGTCGACATCGCCCACACGCTCTTCGTGCTCCGGCGGGGCATCGCGTCGAAGCGGGGCATCCCCTTCTCCAAGGGCACGGTCTGGGGCGAGGACTTCGTGCTGAAGCGGCTGGATTTGGCGGACTCGGCGTGCGCGTGCGCGCTGACCTACATCGAGGTGCTGAGCCTCGCCGCCGCGGACCTGTACCGCATCTTGCGGTATTTCCCCGCGGAGCTCGCGCGCGTGCGCTTCGCCGTCGCCTTCTACACGGTCAAGAGCTGCCTCATCCGCCTCGGCCGGGAGCACCACCGCCGCGCGATGGTCGAGGCGGGCCTGGACCCGGACGAGGAGGACAGCAAGAAGGTCAGCGCCTTCGAGCACCTCTACATGCGCAAGGGCCACAAGATCGCCGCGCACACGTCGTCCATGGCCGAGGTCCGCCCGTCCGTGATCCTGAATCCCGTCAAGGTCGCGCCCGGCCGCCAGTCGGACGCGCCGCCGCCCGCGTCGAACTTCGAGATCGCCAAGCTCGCCCAGACCGTCGAGAGCCTCGACGCCAAGCTCGACGCGCTCGTGGCCCGGCTCGACGGAGCCGCGCCCGCGGCGCCCGCGGCCGGCGGCGGCGGCGGCGGCGACGCGGGCCCCGCCGTCGGGGCCCAGGACCTCGACCGCCACGCGCAGGAGACCTTCGGCTTCGGCGCCTTCACCAACCAGGCGGCCCTCGGCGAGGGGCGCGTCGTCCGGCGATTCACGGGCCGGGGATCCATGGTCGCGAGCCGGCCCGCGATCAAGGCCATCGAGGAGACCAAGGCCGCGGAGAAGCGCCGGCGCACGCGGCGGTCCTCCTTCCTGCCCTCGTAAAAGTCTGTGTGCTCTAACAAGAGTGGGGAGCAGCGCACGCGGGCGAGGACGTCTTCGCGGTGGACGAGCCGAGGGGACCTTAGAATGGAGTAACCTTACCGTGCAGGTGCCCCTGCCCCGGCGGAAGCGCCGTCCCGGAACTCAAGACGTAAAGTCGCCGACCGTCGGCCGCTCGAGGTCCGCGAAGCTCGCAAAGGGCATGGACACGCTCCGCGTGCGGAGGCCGCAGTTGAAGTTGATCTGGCCCGCGAGCGACGCGTCGACGTGCGTGGGCATGGGCGTCGGGAACGCGCTACCAAAGGGCGGGACCGCGCCCGGGAGGCACCGCGTCGCGGCCCAGACCTCGGCCTCCGTCGCGAGGCGCGTGTCCTTGGCGACGGCCTTCTTGACCTTCTTCCAGTCGACCTTCCTGTCCGCCGGGAGCACGAGCAGGTAGAAGGCGCCGGCCTTGGTGAGGACCATGGCCTTGGCGCCGGACGCGAGCGTCGCGTCCGCCCAGCCGCCCGCGAGCCGTGCGTCGACGGACTCCTGGGACGTGAGCGTCGGCGCGTGGACGAGGTGCTTGAAGGGCACGCGCTTCGCCTCGAAGAGCGCCAGGAGTCGCGCGTACGTTGCGGCGTCGCCCTCGTCGGCCGCGACGGGCGCGCGCGCGGCCGGCGGCGCCGCGGCGCCCCCGGCGGCCCCGACGGCGATGGCCGGCGCCGGGCGGCTGAAGACAACGCCGTTGGCCGCGCGCTCCGTCGCGACGCCGCCGCGCGCGGCGCCGACGTCGACCGGCGCGAACGCGGCCCGCGTGCCGGACGGGAAGCCGGCGAAGGCGACGGTGCCGCCGTACTGCGCGCGGAGCGCGGGCGCGCGGGCCGAGGCGCCCGCCGCGGACCCGAGGGGCGCCGCGCCGTCGCCGCTCGCGCGGCCCGGCGGACGCGAAAACGTCGCGCGCGTCGTGTACTCGAGGGCCGCGCCGGAGAAGCGCAGCGCGGAGAACTTGGCCGTCGCGCCGACGACGATCGCCGCGGCCTTGGGCGGCGGCGCGGCTTTGGGCGCCGGCGCGGCGGCGGCCGTCGCCGCCGCGGCGTCGGCGTCGGCGGCGGCGGCCGCGGCCTCGGCCGCACGGGCCCGGAGGCTCTCGAGGCAGGCGACGACGAGGGCCTCGTCCTGGAGGTCGTGGGCGCGCTTCGCGTCGAAGAGCTCCGTCACGCCGAGCGCCGCGGCGCCCTCGAGGAAGTGGGAAAGGTTCTCGACCTGCTTCGTGTGCATGGAGCCCTTGTTGATTTTTTTCACCGTGTGGGGCCGGAGCGCGTTGATGAGCTGGCAGAGCGCGCTGCCGTCTCGCAGGCACTCCAGCAGGGGCTTCGACGCGTCGAGGTCGTGCTTCGACATCGACGCAATCCACACCTTGAGGTCGTCCATCGCGCCGAGAATCCCCTCGCGATGGGGGCAGCCCGGCGTCACCGTCGGCTCGTTTCCCCCGCCTCCGAAGATTGGCCGACGAGGTGGGCAGCCCCGCCGGGCCGCCGCCGGGCCACCATGGTCATCGGCGAGTTCAAGGGCGAGTTCAAGTCGATGACGGACTACCACAACCGGTTCTGGCAGCGCAAGGACCGGGGCAAGGAGTTCGTCGGCGGCCTGCGGCGCACGATCAACCTGCCGCTGGCCGCCGACGACGACCCGGAGAACGAGGCCCACGACAAGAAGTACAAGCCGTCCGACGCGCTGCGCGAGCGCTTCCACGAGGCGAAGATCGACGCCGACGAGCGCCTCGACAACCAGTGCCGCGTGCGCTTCACGAAGCTGCGGGAGTGCCTCACCGAGGAGGCGCACTCTCATCCCAACGGCACGGAGGTGTCCGACGACCTCAAGAACATGCGCAACGAGGGCCGCGTCGACGAGGCGGTCGAGTCGCGCATACGGAGCTACTTCGAGGTCGTCGACGACGGCGACACGGGCTACATCGGCGCGAAGCTCCTCTTCGAGGAGCTCGAACGGTTCGGGTGCACGACGCCCGAGCACGACTTCGAGAAGCTCTTCATGCACGAGGTCCGGAAGAAGCGGCTGTCCGTCGACGACTTCATCATCGTCGTCGCGCGGAACCCGGCCCTCGGCGACGCGCTCCAGGAGGCGCGGCTCCACGAGCGCGCGGCGGGCTACGTCGACGACGCGAAGGAGCAGGACGCTGGGCCGAAATCAAATCTTCAACCCGACTTCAATGTGAGCTTATGCAAGAGTTCTGACGCGAGTCTTTCTGTGCCTCGAGAGCTCGACGAGAGCGATCGATTCGTCCAAAAATCAGCCGAATCGACTTCGATTTGACCGAGCTAGAGAGGTTTAAGTTTGGCTGGAATAACCCAACCAGTGGTTGATTTCGGCACAGGCAGGACGCGTGCTCGCTGTGCGTGCAGCGCCACGCGCGCGTCGACGTCGAGCTCGGCAAGAAGCGCGCCCGGGCGTGGTGGAACGAGACGCTCGACGACGCCCTCGGCGAGTACGCCTGCGAGGAGGACGCCGAGGCCGTCGCGGACCGCGAGCGCCACTTCATCTCCGAGTCGACGGACGAGCGCCTCAAGGCCGCGATCAAGAAGAAGGTCGGCCTCGAGCCCGGGGCGAACCGGTTCCACGCCCTCGTGGACGAGATGAACCTCACCCACGTCACCAAGAAGCCCAAGGACATCTTCGACTGGAAGGAGGAGGTCAAGTTCATGTTCTGCGGCGTCGACGTCGACGAGGTCGCCGCGATGACCGTGGAGGACTACCAGCGCATGGTCGACTTCCGGACCCTCGACGCCTACCGCGACCCGTCGAAGGAGTGGAAGAAGGTCAACGCGCCGGAGCAGATGCAGGTCAACTTTTAAGCGTGTCGTGTTGAACTGCATGGTGCAGCTCAATGTGGGTTGTTCGACGCCTGACTGCGCCTGCAAAAAAATCGCTGCGCACTGCCGCGAAGATCGCGCCGGCCCTTGCGATGCTCCGAAGCGTGGTCGCCCTCGCCATCGTGGCAGCGTGCGCCTCCTTCGACGCGCCCGTCGTCGACCTCGACGCGCTCGACGGCGCCCAGGCGCGCCAGGCGCTGGCCTCCGTGGGCGCCCTCGCCGTGCGCGTCGAGGGCCTCGCGGCGGCCCGCGCGGCGGCCTTCGAGGGCCTCGACGCGTGCCTCGCGGCCGCGCCGGCCGCGCGCGAGATCGCGCTCGCCGACGGGCGCACGCGGCGGTCCGCGGGCGCGGGCTTCGAGAACGGCGTCCCTCGCGAGGACCTCGCGCCGTGCGGCGGCCGCGCGGCGCCGCTGCGGGCCGCGGTCCTCGCCGCGAGCCGCGGCGTCGCGGCGGCGCTCGACGGCGGGCCGACGGGCTTCGGCGGCGCGCTGAAGCGCGACGCCGCGCGCGCGCCCGCGTACCGCACGCTCGCCGCCGTCGTCGACGGAGGCCAGCACCTCGAGCACCTCCACGCCTACTACGGCGCCGGGGCGCCGGCGGCGGCCCCCGCGCTCGCGGCCCACCTCGATGGCGGCGTCTTCGTCGCCATGGTCACCGGCGACGGCGCCGCGGCGCTGACCTTGGAGCTCCCGAACGGCGAGGCCGCGCCTTTAAAGTGGGACGCGGCGTCGTGCGTCCTCGTCCTCGCCGGCGGCGGCTCCGACTGGTTCGACTGGGGCGGCGCCGCCCCGGCGCTCAAGCCCGCGGCGCACGGCCTCGCGCTCGGGCTGAAAGAGGGCGCGTCGCGCGCGTGGTACGGGCTGATGGTGCTGCCGCCGAACGACGCTCTGGTCGCGGGCCGGCGCTACGACGCGTTCCGCGCGGGCGCGGGCGCCGCCGTCGCCGCGGGCGACGGCGCGGGCTGCGGCTCGACGGGCCGCCGCCTCGCGTCGCCGGACGCGGAGAGCTGCGAGACGCAGGACGGCGCGTCGGGAGTCATGTGCTGGCTCCAGTGCATGGCCGTGTCCTGCGGCGACGCCGAGGCCGCCGCCTGCGTCGACGGCGACACGCTCGAGGTCGTCGCCGGCGACGAGCACTGCCCGAACCACGGCGCCTGCGAGCCCGTGTGCCTCGACGCCGCCGGCGCCGTGCCCGCGAATTTCACGGCCCGAGACGACGGCGGCGGCTTCTGCGTCGGCGACGGCCAGGACATGCACATGGACGGCTTCCGGAGCTCCTTCGAGAAGCACGCGCCGGCCTGCGTGAACCTCTACGTGACGGACTGGACGCTCAATTCCGCGGGCAAGTACGCGGCCGGCGCGCTCGCGGCGTTTTCCGTGGGGCTCGCGGTCGAGGCGCTCTCGCGCTACCGCAAGAAGCTCTACGCGGCGCGGGCCGCCGCGGCGTCGAAGACCCAAGTCACGGCGCTCCTCGTCGCGGCCCACTTCCTCCAGGTCGTGCTCGGCTACCTCGCCATGTTCGCCGCGATGACCTACGCCGTGGAATTGTTCGCGGCCGTCTGCGTCGGCGCGACGGCGGGCTACGCGCTCTTCCACCTCGACGCCGAGCCGGGGCCCACGGACCCCTGCTGCCAGGCGCAGACCCTCGAGCTCGCGGCCGCGCCGGAGAACCACGACAGACTCGGCGACAAGGGCAACGCCGCGGCCGCCGTCGCGCCCGACGAGCCCGCGCCCTGCTGCTGCGACGACTTCGGCCTCGAGGAGGCGTGATCGTTCGGCGATTTAAGGGGAGTTGTGTGCTCTCTGCGGTTGTTCCTGGGCGGGCGACGAGGCGTGCGGCGGCGCAGGCGCGTCGAGCCTCGAGGACGTCGTCGAGGATCGTCGAGTATTTTGCCTCTGGCCGAGCCGCTGAGTGATCTGATCGAACGAATAAGCGTGAGCATGCCGCGACGGGGTGTCGCCGAGCGCCTTCGGCGCACCCTCGCCGACCGGGGTCGGACTCCTGCGACGGACGAGTTTGACTCGGACGATTCCGATGTCGAGTGGAAGCGGGCAACGATGGAGGAGCTCCAACAGGAGACGACAGGCGGAATGAAGATCCGCGCGGTCCCGCATAGCGACACCCCGACGGCGCCGTTCTTTGTGTATACCGTTGGAGCGACGACGTCTGGGCACCCCGAAGTTATCGTCCGCGGGCTTCATCGGACGCTCGTTTCTAGCGTCGCGTCCACGCTGAACTTTCTCCTCGATAACCACAAAGAAGGCAAACCACTCGAAGTGCACCACAATGTGCAGTCTAGTGGGTTCATTTACAAAGCGATTCGGCCAGAGGACGAGGCGACGGTGCGCGAGGAGCTCATGACTGTGACCACGCGCCTCTTCGGCTCCGACTACGAGTTGCTCGAACTCGTCGTCCTCGGCCAGGTCGACGACGACGATAATGTGCGAACGCTCGACCGGCAGCCGGAGAAGCTCAAAGTCTGCGCCAATTGCAACGCCACCGCGCCCCCGGGCGGCAAGCTCCGCGCCTGCGCCGGTTGCAACGCCGTGCGGTATTGTTCTCGCGAGTGCCAAAAAAATGCGTGGAAGGACCACAAAAAGGTCTGCGCTACCTTAGCGGCCCTTGCCGCTGAGGCCGTGTTGGAAGACGACGAGGCCATCCGAATCGGTCTCGAGCGTACCGCCATTGAAGAGCCCCGCGGCCGCTCGGACGCGCCGCCGAAGACCTCCGATCCGGCCGTGCGCCGCATCTTGCTGGCGTTCTCCTCGAAGAAAACTGCCTACATCCGCTTCATCGATGGCGACGTCGGAAACTGCGCTTCCCGGAACCTTGAGTACGTCACGCTCCGAGACGCGCTGTTCCACGCCGCGGAGTGGAAGGTCGATTGGGACGCGGAACTGTCGGACGAAGACGCGGCCCTGGTCCGCGCGAACGGCCCCTGGTTCGCGGGCCTCGTAGGGGCCTAAGGTTATGAGTCAGAGCCCGCCGCTCGGGAGGTCGTCCTGGTAGGCTATAGAGGGCTGCATGCCTGGCATAGGACGCCCAGAAGGGGGTGGATTTTGCGCCCAGCGAGGTCCGGCCGAGCTCCGATCTCGGAGAACGCATCACGCCAAGCCGAGCTTAGATCAGAGACGCTAGATGGCGGGCGACTCGAGCGCCCCTTCCCGTTTCCGCTTCGCGGAGCAAAAAGCGAAGGCTCAAGTCGAAGCCGGGCGACGGGACAGCGCCAAAGGCCGCAAGGGCTCGATCTTGGGGAAAGTCATCCGGTCGGCCTCGTTCGATAGCGCGCAGAAACGGGTGCGGCCTTCGCGCGAACCCTCCGCGCGCGGACCCTCCGCGCGCGACCCCCGCCACCCCGACCCACCCCCCGACGCCTTCGCGCCGCGCGATCGACGCTCGCGCTGACCGCCGTTCGACGTGTCCGACGCGCCGCCGTCCGCAGGAGGAGGAGTCGCGGCGCGCTCGCGCGAACTGGAAGCGCTCCATCAACACGGTACGCGCGCCGGCGTCCCGCCCGGTACCCGCGCGGCGCGCGAGCCGAGCCCCTGGGTTCCCCCGCAGGTCATCGCGTCGATTCGGTGGAAGAAGATCATCGAGGAGAAGCGAGAGGAGTGAGAGCCACCCCCCCCCCCCCGCGCCGCGCCACTCTCGCCGAGGGGAGCGCCGCGCCGAGCAGTGCCGCCATCCGCGCGCGCACTGTCGCGTCTACTTCTGCCTCGCGACGTGGAAAGGGCGTTCGACCTACGTCAACAGCGTCGCGGTGTTCCCAGCGGGCGACCGCGTCGTGTCCGGGTCTGCGGACAATACGCTCAAGTTATGGGGCGCGGCCAGCCAGACGTAAATCCGGGCGAGTAGGCGAGATCCGCCACTCTGGGGAAGGACCCAATGCCGATGAGCGCCGGCTACTTCGCGGGCGGGCCGCCGAAGAGGTCCGCGGCCGCGGGGTCCGAGGCGGCCGGCGCCGCCGATCGCGACGGCGCCGGCGCGAGGCCCGCCGCAGAGGCGCGCCAGGTGCCGAGTTCAGCGGAGAGAGACTTGTCGTAAGGAAGCACAGGGGGGAGCGGGGGAAGACAGGCGAGCGACGACGGGGCCGGGGCCGGCGCGCGGTGGGCCGCGGCCGGCGGCCGATCCGCGCGCTCAGAGGTCGCCGAGGGACGGGCGGCGGCCGTAGTTCCGCTTCTTCGCGGCCTGCTCGGCGAGCATGGCCTTGTAGACCTTGGAGTGGTTGAGGCGGTGCGTGACCTTGTTGACCATGTGCTTGAAGGAGAAGCGGACGAGGAGGAACTTGAGCTTCTCCGTGTTGTCCATGTCGCGGAAGGGCTTCGCGTGCTTGATCGTGAACGCGTCCAGCGACTTGCGGAGGCGCTCCATGGCCGCGGACCCCGCGGCGCGCTCGACGGCCGCGGCCTCGCGGGCCTCGCCGACCTCCGCGGTCATCGCGTTGAAGTCCTCCATCGACGGGCGCCGCGACGTCGCGGGCGCGACCTGGAGCGCGTGGACGCCCGGGTTCTTGCGGTAGACGACGTCGCTCGCCTTGAGCTCGCCGTCGCTGGACAGCATGGCGAGCACGAGCGTCGACGCGTCGCCCGCGGCCGTGCCGACGCGGCGGATCACGAAATTCGCGAGCTCCTGCGCGACGACCTCGTCGCCGGCGGCCTGCTTCTCGGGCTTCCCGGGGGACGCGCCGCCCTGCTTCTTCGACCGGGCCTCGAGCTCCGCCGCCACGAGGCCGTCGAAGTGGTCCCGCTTCGCCTCGAGCACGCGCGTCGCGTCGACGAAGAGCGGCGCGAAGACCGTGTCGTCGGCGTCCTTGGCGCTCACGGCTAAAACCTTGAGCGTCTTCTCGTAGCCGATCTTGAGCGTGAGGAACTGCTTCGACTTCCAAAGGGGCTTCTGGCCCGCGTAGATCTGGTCGGGCGAGAGCCGCGACCGCTTCGGCGAGCTCGGCGGCTTCTTGATCCCGGGCGACCCGTCGGCGTCGACGAGCGGCGCGGCGAGCGCCTCGGGGGACGCGCCGTCCTCGGGCGCGTCGTCGCCCTCGTCGTCCTCGGGCGCGAGCCGGTCCTCGAGCGACGGCTTCGGCGCGCGCGCGGCGGCCTCGCGCTCGCGGCGGAGCTTCTCGGCCTTCCAGGCGAGGGTCGGGATGTGGAGGCAGTAGTGCAGGAACTCCTCCATGGACACGGTGCCGTTCTTGTCCTCGTCGAAGTGGTCGATCAACGCCGCGAGCTCGCCGGCCGAGATGGACCAGCCCAGCTTCTTCATGGCCGCCTCGAAGTCGTCGGGCGTGATGTCGTCGTCGTCGCCCGCGCCCTCGGACTTGAAGTACTTGAAGATCTGGTCCACGCGGAGGCCCTTCTCCTTGGCGTTCGACATGACCTGCGGGCGGCGGCGCGGCGGTCCGACGCGGCGCGGCCCTCCCGAGGGCGGGGGCGCCGCGGCCGCGCCTGCTGCAGCTTCTTCTCCGGCGACAGGTTCTGGTCCACGTTGGCGAACTCGGCGAGGTCCACCATGCCCGTCAGCGAGAAGCGGCGCGCGGCGTCGTTGCGGCGCTCCTCCTTGGCCTTGGCCTGGGCCTGGGCGAGCACGATCTGCTCGCTCGGCGGCGTGTTGTCCTCCTTCGACCGCGAGAAGGACCGGCGGCGCATGGAGGCCATCGGGGGGGCGGCGGCGGCTGCCATTGTCATGCGCTACACAACGTTCCTGGCGGAGTTCTGACAATCTGGGCAGCCCCAAACAAAACAACCGGTAGGCGATCGCTCTTTCTCTTGAAGAAGCACGAGTCCAATGATTCGACAAAAAAGTCAACTCTTGTCCTTGAAACACGACGAATTTGCCGCAGGAATGGAGCCGCTCCAGGCAGAGCCCTGAGCCGGCCGCGATGGCGGACGACTGGCCCCTGGCGATCGCCCACGGTCGCGTGGCCTACTGCGCGTTCCGCGCCACGTCGGTGACCGTCGCCGCGGTCGACGGGGACGAGGTTCGCGTCGTCGCGCTCGGCGCGGTGCCCGAGGTGCCCTGCGCGTCCGTCGAGGCCTGCGACGTCGCCTGGGTCGGGCGGCGGCTCGTCGTCTGCGCGAGCGACGGCACCGTGCGGTGCTTCGACGGCGACGCCTGCAACCCGACGGCCTGCGTCCGCGTCGCGGCGTCCGCCGGGCGCCTGTCGGCCGCGCCGGGCGCGTCCGAGGCCGTCTTCCGCGCGCGGCCGGGGCTGGCGACGTTCCTGGCCTTCGACGGCGGCGGCGCGCCGCGCGTGAGCCACCACAAGGTCGCGGCGCCGGAGCCGGCGGCCCTCGCGGCGTCGCGCGGCGGCAAAGCTTTAGGAGTCGGCTCTCGGCCGACGGTCGCCGAGTACGCGCTGGCGGACCCGCCGCCGTCGGGCCTGCTGCGCGCCGCCGCCGGCGCCCTCCTCGGCTGGCTCGCGCCGGGCGCGCGGGCGCCCCGGGGCGACGGGAACGCGCGCGACGGCTTCGCGGACCGGCGGCCCTACGAGGACCGCGAGGGCCCGCGTGCGAATCAAATCTTCAACCCGACTTCAATGTGCGCGTATTCGAATGATTTAACACGAGCACTTCCGCTGTGCTTCGAGAATTCGATGAGAGCACTAGATTCATCCAAAAATCAGCCGAATCGACTTTGATTTGACCGAGCTCGAGAATTTCAAAGTTTGGTCGGGACGTCCCAGCTCACCGGTTGATTCGCACACAGGCGAGGGCGCGCGGCGCGAGGGCGAGCGCCACGGCCGCGCGGCGCGGTCGCGCGTCTTCTTCGACGACGCGGGCCGCGAGGCCCACGGCGTCGCCGTGTCGCCGCGCGGCGACCTCGCGGCCGTGAGCGACAACCTCGGCCGCGTGCTCCTCGTCGACGTCGCGGCGGGGCGACTCGTGCGGCTCTTCAAGGGCGCGCGCCGCGCCCAGGTCGCCTGGGTCGAGGTCGACGACGGCGACGGCGCGAAAACGCCGGGCCTCTACCTCGCGATTTTAGCGCCGCAGCGGGCCCTCGCGCGCGTCTGGCGGTGCCGCTTCGGCCCGTGCGTCGCGGCGTTCCGCGTCCCGCCGGAGCTGACGCGCCTCGTCGAGGCGCGGGGCGCGGACGGCCGCGCCGTCGCCTACGTCGCCGGCGGGCCGGCGGACCTCGTCCTCGAGCCGCTCGCCGTGGACGCGGCGCGGTGCGCGGCGGTGGCCGCCGCCGCGCGGCGCGACCTCGCGACGGCGGGCGCCGAGGCGCGCGCGAAGCGCGCGCTCGCGGCCGCGGACAAACGCGGCGACGCGTCGGACGCCGCGGCGCAGCTCGGCCGCCTCGACGGCGACGACGGCGCTTTGGCGCGCGTCGTGGACGACGCGTGCCGGTCCTGCGGCTCGCCGGCGGTCGTCGCGTCGCTCCTGGCGCACCTCGCGCGGCGCGGCGACGCCCTGGGCGCCAAGGCCGCGGCGCTCGCGGCGACGGAGCGCGTGCGCGCGTCCCTCGCGGG